GAGAGAAAGAAAGAAAGAGAGAAAGAAAGAAAGAGAGAAAGAAAGAAAGAGAGAAAGAAAGAAAGAGAGAAAGAAAGAAAGAGAGAAAGAAAGAAAGAAAGAAAGAAAGAAAGAAAGAGAGAAAGAAAGAAAGAAAGAAAGAAAGAAAGAAAGAAAGAAAGAAAGAAAGAAAGAAAGAAAGAGAGAAAGAAAGAAAGAGAGAAAGAGAGAAAGAAAGAAACAGAGAAAGAAAGAAAGAAAGAGAGAAAGAAAGAAAGAAAGAAAGAAAGAAAGAAAGAAAGAAAGAGAGAAAGAAAGAAAGAAAGAGAGAAAGAAAGAAAGAAAGAAAGAGAGAAAGAGAGAAAGAAAGAAAGAGAGAAAGAAAGAAAGAAAGAAAGAAAGAGAGAAAGAAAGAAAGAAAGAAAGAGAGAAAGAAAGAAAGAAAGAGAGAAAGAGAGAAAGAAAGAAACAAAAAAGAAAGAAAGAAAGAGAGAAAGAAAGAAAGAAAGAGAGAAAGAAAGAAAGAAAGAGAGAAAGAAAGAAAGAAAGAAAGAAAGAAAGAGAGAAAGAGAGAAAGAAAGAAAGAGAGAAAGAGAGAAAGAAAGAAAGAGAGAAAGAAAGAAAGAAAGAAAGAAAGAAAGAAAGAAAAAAAGAAAGAAAGAAAGAAAGAAAGAAAGAAAGAAAGAAAGAGAGAAAGAAAGCAAGAAAGAAAGAAAGAGAGAAAGAACGAAAGAGAGAAAGAGAGAAAGAAAGAAAGAGAGAAAGAAAGAAAGAAAGAAAGAAAGAAAGAAAGAAAGAAAGAAAGAAAGAAAGAAAGAAAGAAAGAAAGAAAGAGAGAAAGAAAGAAAGAGAGAAAGAGAGAAAGAGAGAAAGAGAGAAAGAAAGAAAGAGAGAAAGAAAGAGAGAAAGAGAGAAAGAGAGAAAGAAAGAAAGAAAGAAAGAAAGAAAGAAAGAAAGAGAGAAAGAAAGAAAGAAAGAGAGAAAGAGAGAAAGAAAGAAAGAGAGAAAGAAAGAAAGAGAGAAAGAAAGAAAGAGAGAAAGAAAGAAAGAGAGAAAGAAAGAAAGAGAGAAAGAAAGAAAGAAAGAAAGAGAGAAAGAAAGAAAGAGAGAAAGAGAGAAAGAAAGAAAGAGAGAAAGAAAGAAAGAGAGAAAGAAAGAAAGAGAGAAAGAAAGAAAGAGAGAAAGAGAGAAAGAAAGAAAGAAAGAGAGAAAGAAAGAAAGAAAGAGAGAGAGAAAGAAAGAAAGAGAGAAAGAGAGAAAGAGAGAAAGAGAGAAAGAGAGAAAGAGAGAAAGAAAGAAAGAGAGAAAGAAAGAAAGAGAGAAAGAAAGAAAGAGAGAAAGAGAGAAAGAAAGAAAGAAAGAGAGAAAGAAAGATAGAAAGAAAGAGAGAAAGAAAGAAAGAGAGAAAGAGAGAAAGAAAGAAAGAGAGAAAGAAAGAAAGAGAGAAAGAAAGAAAGAGAGAAAGAGAGAAAGAAAGAGAGAAAGAGAAAAGTGACTCCAAAAACGGCTACGAGGCTCCCGGCCGAGCGCCGTGGCCTTGGGAAGCCCAGCCAAGCAGGGGACGCGCAGGCACAGACCAGCAAAACCTCGGAGCTCTCACGGACCTGGACTTGGCAAGAGACACAAAATCAAACAGAAAAACAGAATCATATAGAATCATATAGAATTTATAGAATCATACACTTCAGCAACTGGAGTTGGAAGCTGGAAGTGTGTGCAAGCCCCAGACAACACTACTTCACCCAAAAGGACATGGGGTGACATTGAGTGACAATCGGCTACCAGTGACTAAGTCACTAAGTGGCTCTTCTCGCGTATACACTGTCCCTGTATGGATCTGCCTTCAGCCGGCGAGGCATGGCCCGCACCATGGCCACACTGCTCGGCATTTGTTGGCTTGTGCTGGGCCAGCTTGAACTTCGAGCTGAGCTCTCTCTGTTGGATTGATTCAAAGTTCGCCAGCTGAGCCCATTTCGCTGCCGAAGCACTTCCGCGTGTGAGGTGCCACGTCAAATTTTCGCGCCTGGTCCTGATACCCCAAGGAATCCGAGTCCTTTACCACCTTGAAGCCCAAGCCTTCCGTACAAATCTCAACGCCAAGTGGGGCAGGGACTATCCGAGCCTTTGTAATAGCGGACTAGGCGTTCGTGCTGCTTGTCTTCATCCTTGATGGCCAAAAGATACGCCTAAACATCGAACAGCGGCACGTGGGCCACGGCATGGCGGAGCGAGCGTGAGGCTTCTCTCTGGCCTCCTTGCAGAAGAAGGGAGATCTTTCCCGATTCCAACCTGACTTCCGCCTCTCCGTGCGCTCTGGGGATCTGGGGATCTGGGGCTCGCGCAGGCAATGGCGCAGGAGAGCAGCAAGCCAAACCACCGAGCCACCTCCATCGGAACCCTCTTGGGCTTGAAGGATTTGAAGGATTTGAAGGATTTGAAGGATTTGCATAGCTTAGGCATTTTTCAGACGCTGGGCACCCAGCTTTGGCAATGTCGGCGTAGCGCTTCCTCTCCTCAAAAACGAGCGCTCGCCTTGTGTGGCTCCCTCTCTGATGGCCTCGGCAGCATCTTGCTCCGTGCCCGCGTCGTCGGGAGAAGCGGACTTGGGCTTGGCCACCCAGTACCCCGTGAACTTCCGCACCTGCAAAACGCATCAAAACGCCCCGCGAACTTCTTTGGAGGAAACAAGAAACGCAGTCGCAAGCGAGCGCGCACGCACCTCGATGGTCTCCAGGTGCAAACTGCCCTGCCATCAGAAGCAAGTCGCATCCGACGCATCTGACTCATTGACTCGCCGATCTCTCAACCGGTCGAGAGCACCCAAGGCTGCGCCCAGCCACTGGTCTTGCCCAGCTGCCGGTCCCCGCTATACAGCTCGATCTGGTACCTCGGAGTCTCTCGTGTCGAGACACTGATTCCCTAGCCTCCATACCGACTAAAAACCGTCACCTCAGTCTGCCTGAAACTCCGCCGACCCCTTCTCCTCAAAGGGGGAGGCGCACGGGAAGGGTGGTTACAGCACAAGTCCAAGGTTGGTTGGTAAATGAGCATAGCCGAAGAGTCAACATTATCAGCGTCATCGTAGCATCCTTTGCACCTCAAAGACGTGTCTTTTTCGTCATCATGACCATTGTTGTCGTCATCCGTGTCTTTTTCGTTTGTGTTTCAAGTGTTGCGTTAGAGCCAGACATTCTGCCCGCGAGGAGGGACTTGCATTCGCACTGATGATGATTACCATCATGGTGATGATGACATGCTCATCATCGTCACATCATCATCGTTGTGACATGATTGGAGATGCAGAGGATGCGTAGACATGATTATCATCACGACTGTTGGTGATGCAGAGGATGCACAATGATGGTTATCATCGATGATGATAACGGTGATGATGATGATGACAATGACGAGGATGATGCTGATGATGATGACGATGATGATGATGCTGATGATGATGACGATGATGATGATGATGATGACGATAAACATGCTCATCGTCATCACATCACCGTTGTGACCTGACTGGAGATGTCGAGGATGCGTAGATATGATTATCATGATGACTGCTGGTGATGCAGAGGATGCACGATGATGGTTATCATCGATGATGACAACGGTGATGATGACGATGACGATGACGAGGATGATGCTGATGATGACGACGATGATGATGATGACACGCTTGTCATTCTATCACATCATAATCGTTGTCGTCCTTATCTTTTTAAATACGTTTCAAAGGTGGCGTTAGAGCCGATTGGAGATGCAGCGGGTGCGTAGTCAGGATTATCATCATGACTGTTGGTGACGCAGAGGATGCACGATGATGGTTATCGTCCATGATGACAACGGTGATGATGACGGTGATGACGATGATGATGATAATGCTGACGATAATGACCACCATCATGGTGATGATGACATGCTCATCATCATCACATCATCGTTGTGACCTGATTGGAGATGCAGAGGATGCGTAGACATGATTTCCTCCTGACTGTTGGTGATGCAGAGGATGCACGACGATGGATATCATCGATGATGACAACGGTGATGATGACGATGACGATGACGAGGAGATGACGATGATGATGATGATGAAACGCTTGTCATATCACATCATAATCGTGGTCGTCCTTATCTTTTTTATATACGTTTAAAAGGTAGCGTTAGAGCTGACTGATTTTTGTGACCTGATAGGAGATGTAGAGGATGCGTAGACATGATTATCATGATGACTGCTGGTGATGCAGAGGATGCACAATGATGGTTATGGTCGATGATGACAACGGTGATGATGACGATGACGATGACGAGGATGATGCTGATGATGACGACGATGATGATGATGATGACACGCTTGTCATTATATCACATCATAATCGTGGTCGTCCTTATCTTTTTTATATACGTTTCAAAGGTGGCGTTAGAGCCGATTGGAGATGCAGCGGGTGCGTAGTCATGCTTATCAACATGACTGTTGGTGATGCAGAGGATGCACGATGATGGTTATCGTCCATGATGACAACGGTGATGATGACGGTGATGACGATGATGATGATAATAACGATGATGACCACCATCATGGTGATGATGACATGCTCATCATCATCACATCATCGTTGTGACCTGATTGGAGATGCAGAGGATGCGTAGACATGATTTCCTCCTGACTGTTGGTGATGCAGAGGATGCACGATGATGGTTATCATCGATGATGAGATGATGACGATGACGATGACGAGGAGATGACGATGATGATGATGATGACACGCTTGTCATTATATCACATCATAATCGTGGTCGTCCTTATCTTTTTTATATACGTTTCAAAGGTGGCGTTAGAGCCGATTGGAGATGCAGCGGGTGCGTAGTCATGCTTATCATCATGACTGTTGGTGATGCAGAGGATGCACGATGAAGGTTATCGTCCATGATGACAACGGTGATGATGACGGTAATGACGATAATGATGATGATGATGATGACGATAATGACCACCATCATGGTGATGATGACACGCTCATCATCATCACATCATCGTTGTGACCTGATTGGAGATGTCGAGGATGCGTAGATATGATTCCTCCTGACTGTTGGTTGCAGAGGATGCACGATGATGGTTATCATTGATGATGAGATGATGACGAGGAGATGACGATGATGATGATGATGACACGCTTGTCACTATATCACATCATAATCGTTGTCGTCCTTATCTTTTTTATATACGTTTCAAAGGTGGCGTTAGAGCCGATTGGAGATGCAGCGGGTGCGTAGTCATGCTTATCATCATGACTGTTGGTGATGCAGAGGATGCACGATGATGGTTATCGTCCATGATGACAACGGTGATGATGACGGTGATGACGATGATGACGATGATGACGATAATGACCACCATCATGGTGATGATGACATGCTCATCATCATCACATCATCGTTGTGACCTGATTGGAGATGCAGAGGGTGCGTAGACATGATTTCCTCCTGACTGTTGGCGATGCAGAGGATGCACGATGATGGTTATCATCGATGATGACAACGGTGACGATGACGATGACGATGACGAGGAGATGACGGTGATGATGATGATGATGACACGCTTGTCATTATATCACATCATAATCGTTGTCGTCCTTATCTTTTTTATATACGTTTCAAAGGTAGCGTTAGAGCTGACTGATTTTTGTGACCTGGTTGGAGATGTAGAGGATGCGTAGACATGATTATCATGATCACTGCTGGTGATGCAGAGGATGCACGATGATGGTTTTCGTCGATGATGACAACGGTGATGATGACGATGACGATGACGAGGATGATGCTGATGATGACGACGATGATGATGATGATGACACGCTTTGTCGTCCTTATCTTTTTTATATACGTTTCAAAGGTGGCATTACAGCCGATTGGAGATGCAGCGGGTGCGTAGTCATGATTTTCATGATGACTGTTGGTGATGCAGAGGATGCACGATGATGGTTATCGTCCATGATGACAACGGTGATGATGACGGTGATGACGATGATGACGATGATGACGATAATGACCACTATCTCATCATCATCACATCATCGTTGTGACCTGATTGGAGATGCAGAGGATGCGTAGACATGATTTCCTCCTGACTGTTGGTGATGCAGAGGATGCACGATGATGGTTATCATCGATGATGACAACGGTGATGATGACGATGACGATGACGAGGAGATGACGATGATGATGATGATGATACGCTTGTCATTATATCACATCATAATCGTTGTCGTCCTTATCTTTTTTATATACGTTTCAAAGGTAGCGTTAGAGCCGATTGGAGATGCAGCGGGTGCGTAGTCATGATTATCATCATGACTGTTGGTGATGCAGAGGATGCACGATGATGGTTATCATCGTCCATGATGACACGGGCGATGATGACGGCGATGACGATGATGGTGATGACGACGATGATGATCACGATAATGACCACCATCATGGTGATGATGACATGCTCCTCATCATCACATCATCATCGTTGTGACCTGATTGGAGATGCAGAGAATGCGTAGACATGATTATGATCATGACTGTTGGTGATGCAGAGGATGCACGATGATGGTTATCATTCATGATGACAACGTTGATGATGACGATGATGATGACGATGATGATGCTGATGATGACGACGATGATGATGATGACACGCTTGTCATTATATCACCTCATAATCGTTGTCGTCCTTATCTTCTTTATATACGTTCCCACAAGCTGCTGCCGCAAGGGCAAGCGTGCTCACCTCAACACGGCTCAGCTCTGCGCTGAGCAAGGCTTGCAGTTCCTGCCGATCGTGGCTGAGGGCTCTGGGGCGGGCAAGGTCCCACAGCCCAGAAAGTGTTCGCTGCCCTGGGTAGGGCCCTGGCTGCGCGCAGCGGCGAACTGGCGGCAATCGAGGCCGACCGCCTGGGGCAGGCCATGTCCTTCACCTTACAACGTGAAAACGCCCGCGCTGTCCTCCGGCGGTGTGCGGATTGCGCACGGCCGGCCTGCTTGCCAGCCCCTTGAGCCGGCCACTGACGCCTGGCTCGGCCTACACCAGCTACGAGTTGAGACCCGCTCAGACGGCCTATCCCACCTACAAGCCATCTGGTGGCTATCCCATGGGCCGGGCCCCATGCCGATTCCGACATTCTTGGCAGCCCACATGAGTCCTGGCGCGGCCCCCCACCTTGGCCTTTCCAAGTGCAGCTGTGGGCACTCGCTGAAGTCCGTAATTTGATGCAAGAGTAAGAGCTCGTCATGCAAAGCCTTCCCGCCCGATATCTTTGCGTGTGCTTGTACAGCTGCAAAATATTCAGCTGTGGCAGGGTGTTGCCAGCTCGCTTTTCAGACGAGGGCGATGTCCCAGTCCTTTTGACACTACCGCTTTGCACTAGGCCTTCCATCTTCAGAAGCGGTCCATATTTTTGGACACCTTCAGACCCTGTTGGCATTGCTTGGGCTGAATTGGCCCTTGCTAAACCTACCACTTTTGCAGGTCAAGGAGCCCGAAGTGGCGCTAGCGAGTTGCAGTAGCGAGCTGCACTAGCAAGCTGCACTAGCAAGTTGCACTAGCAAGTTGCACAACGAAGTTGCACTAGGAAGTTGCACTAGGAAGTCGCATTCGCAAGTTGCAGCGAAGTGAGGTATGTACGTTTCAAAGGTAGCGTTAGAGCCGATTGGAGATGCAGCGGGTGCGTAGTCATGATTATCATCATGACTCTTGGTGATGCAGAGGATACACGATGATGGTTATCGTCCATGATTACAACGGTGATGATGACGGTGATGATGACGGTGATGACGATGATGATGATGATGACGATAATGACCACCATCATGGTGATGCTGACATGCTCATCA